TGTGTGTGTGTGTGTGTGTGTGTGTGTGTGTGTGTGTGTGTGTGTGGTACTTACCAACACGGAGCTGGAAGTTGTTTCCTGTCTGTGTGTTGATGTGTTTGAGAGTTTCCTGCATAGCGAGTGCGAACAGGACCAACTCACTGAGGTGATTCCAGCCATCCTCACAATCCTGAAGACACACATGCACATCTGAATGAAGTGTGTATGGACATCAGAGCCTTTGACAAGAGGCTCAGAGGGAGCATTTAAGTGTTGTGATGTAACAGCAGGACTCACCTGCCTGTCAGGTGACAGGCCTGAAGCTGCCATGTAGCAGCTGCCAGTGGTTTTGATCTTCTCCACCTGCTGAAAGTAGCATTCATCCAGCAGCTACAACACACAAACACAAAGGTAAAAAATACTACATTTAATAAAGTTTACAAAACATATCTCGTTTGTGTGTGTGTGTGTGATTTATGACCTCATCAAAGTCGCTGATGACGTGGTTAAGGAGGCGGAGACACTCAACATGCTGATGAAGGACCTCCTTTTCCTCGTAGAAGTCGGAGAATCCGGGCAGAGAGGCAAACAGCACGCCCACTCGCTCATACGACTGTGAGTACAACTCCTGATAACACACACACACACACACACACACACACACACACACACACTTTAATGCTCTGTTAATATGACTCATACTAATAGAATAAATAAATATCGATTATTGATCAGGCCTACTGGTCATGAGGTCTGAGGGCATATGTCACACCTTGCATTTAAAGATGAGAAACAATTATAAAAAAACTTGAAAAAGTCACGAAAGACTCAAAAAATGTGCAAATGGCCACAAAATATTATCTAAACCACTTCCAATTCTTACAAAGTCTCAGCTGTTCTATACAGTAATTTTTATATATATATTTATAATAAATATAACTGTACGAGTGTTGTTTGTTTTTAATTTTAAATTTTTTAGAAATCACGTGCCTAAATTTTATCAAGGCTGAAAGTCTGGAGGAGTGGCTTCTGGATGACAGGTGGATGATGACATAGGAGGTTATACATCTGAGCTAATTGGAAAATCTAAACTCTGACCTCAGGACAGTGTTTGAACTGATTTGTGTAATTTGGTAATATACAGAATCACATCATGAGTATACAGTGATATTTTACCCTCTTTTTGGACCTTTTTTCAGAACACTTTAATACAATTATCTGACCAATAATATGTCTGCTGCATGGTTACTTGCACTCATAAATCACCCAAGAAGTCTGTGCTCCTGTTTTGCTGAAGGAAGTCTAGGATTTTTTTACACACTGATTAACAGTTATCTGTGTCTGTGTAATGGTCCCAGTAGTCCTGTGATGCTCCCATGGCCAGAGCATGATAATGAAGTTAGCTTTGATTAACTGATAACTTAGTTATCCTCTCTCATAAAGATATGGTCACTTCTGACTAGAAAAAACTAAATGACAGTGACCAGAATGCTAATGCTGAAGCTCCAAAACTCAATAGGGAATCAATTTGGCTGCTATGTGAAAGGCATCAGGTACCTCATCATTGCGGTCTCTCTCCAAGAAGTGCTGGGCAACATGTGCGGGCAGGATATTGAGCAGCAGACACTCATTGTGCTCCCGCTGCTCCTTCATGTCCTCCACCTCCTTCTTTGCCTGAAGGCCCCAGAGAAAGTCCAGCCGTGCTGTCGCCTCCAGCTGCCAGTGAAGAAATGGAAGAGGGAAGTGGTGGATATTAGCATACTGAATTCATATCAGGGTTATCATTGTTTGCTTGATAGCAATAAAAGCTGGTAGCGTGTTTAACAGAATCCACCTGTCTGCTGTTGAAGAGGACAGCCACCACAAACATCAGCATAAGAACAACACAGACTCCATTCCTGCACAAGTGATGAGACCTGACGACAACAGAGGAGACCACATTTTATTTTCCACACCTTTACACAAAAACACAGGAACATGACCTGAATGGAACTTGTACCTGTAATTCTTGATTATGTAGGTGTAGAGGGCAGCAAACAGCAGTAGAACGGCCAGCTGCAACACGCAGCTCAGTCTGAGGAACACGGCACAGGTAACCATAGCAACCACGCCACTTAGAACCATGTACTGTACACAGAAAGGCCAGTGATAATTTTAAAAATGGTTACTGACTAATCAAAACAATGTCATCATGATTCTGAGTTCATGTGATGTTTGAGTGTTCACCTCTGGATATGTGCAAATGTTGATATCGGTCCAAGCCGAGGGAGGCGGAGCCAGCAGGGAGTCCCTGTTGCTGATGTCAGTTTCTGATGAATCACACCACAGCTAGTGGAAGCAAGCAAGAAGCTTTCTAACAAGTTATTTTGTACTAAATTCTTTGTACTAAAGCCTTTCAGTAAGTTGCTGGAAGAAGCTATTATTCCCACTGAGGTTTTTAAAAATGTTTAACATAAAAGATTGGTTGTCAGTATATGGGAAATCATAATAGACAATAAGATGTGCACGTTATTGCAGGTGAGTCATTACTTTTTGGCACAAAATACCAAGAAACTAAACGAAAACACTAGCAATGCAAAAAATGGAGGGACTTCTTGAAATGCTTCAAACAAACATTCCCATTGTTGTAAGAAAATGTTTAATTGTATCTTATGTTGCTGTTAACACTGTTCCAGTGCAACTAAAGAATGTGTAAATACACATTTTTAGTTGTTGAAACGACAATGCTGTCAAAGTGATGTAATTTCACACTTCGTTTACAGAGAACACATTTTTGCAAAACTTTAGAAATTCAAGGTGATTACAATCAATACTCTTGATACTCTTTTATACTGATGGAGACTCATCATCAAACAGTAATCCTCACACTGTGTTGTGTCAACATTGCTGCTTAAAATGTAAAACAATATTTTTGGAGAATTCATTTTCCCCCAAATTGCTTCATTCTTTGCATTTCTCAGCATTCACATCAGCAACTGTTACAGAAGTGATGCTGAGGCGGACAATGATGTTTTTTTAATCGATTTTAATATGTTAGCTTGTTTGGTTTTCAAATCTTTTCTTCTGATCGTTTGGTATTTATGACCTATAACATATCTTAGTTATTGATTTGATAAAAACAATATCAGACTTACAATGTCTGCAGAGGCGATTCCAAAGTTGACAGTGATGGCAGTGAGTGTGAGCAGCATGCGGGCACTCTTGTTTTCATGCACCCAACAGCAGATTGACTGGAGGGGAGCAGGACAATGCTTAAATTCCTCCCCCAGAGTCAGCAGCAAGAGCAGGAAGTAAATGCCGCCACTGACCACAAACTGAATGACCATTGGACACAATCTGTGGGAACAAAAAGTTACTAAACACACACATGTCAGCTGTTATAGAAGTTCCGGTCAGCATGAACAAGATGTTTCCTCTCCTTGTATAACATTTATAATATTTTTAAGGGGAAAACAAATTTGTTTCATCTTTAGCTTCATTTATCTCTAAGCATGACCAGATAAATTATTATATCGAGCCAAAAAGTGCAGAGAAACAGTTGGTACCTGGTCCTATGCAGATGATTTTCTCTTTTAGATGTGAGGGCTGTTAAAATAATATCTATTAACATAAAAAACAAAAAAGCATTTGCAGAAGCTTGTTTTTGTACTGTTACATTTTGGTGCTGAAAAAATCACAAAGTCTTATATTTTCAATACATATTTAATTACAGCTGCTCATTAACACAAATATCTAATCTCATGGCAGCAATTTAATGTATTTGGCATGTAGACACGGTCAAGATAAAGGTCAGAATGGAAAAAGGTGATTTCAGTGACTTTGAACGTGTTACAGTAGAAAGTAACACTAGTTGAAATATGATCAGGACCAATAGCAGTGTCTTCAGTTTTATCAGTTTAATTCTATGGTTTTGTTTTGTTTTTTACAACATGTTAAGCTTATGTTTTTCCAATTGTTGGATAATTGGACAAACATCATTTACAATTATTTACATCATTTAACAAAAGGAAAATCTATACCTTGGGGCTGGGATTAGCACCTGGACTGTCATTAAAAGCAGCAGCAGAATGAAGGAGCAAACCATGTTAGATTTGAAGAGTTCGTCTCTCATCTGAGAATACTGAGAGACAAACATTTTATTAATGACTGTTTTCAAGGTGCCAGTTTCACCCCCCCAAAAAAAACTACTAAGAAAAAAGATTCTCGTGTTACCTTTCCCTCCACATGGGAGTCCTTAAACACCTGAGTAAAGGTGGTGATGTGCTCCTTCCTCATTCGCTCACTGCTGCGCACCTCCATGGCCTGGCGAATCCTCTTGTTCACCTCCCGTGTTCCTGAGCGCTGAGCTGCTATATTATTGGGCAGCTGGGTCAGTGAACCATTGGTAAAAGTAGCAAGGATCTGTGAACCAACAAAGAATACAACAAAAGGTCAAAGGTTATTGAAATTAAATCAGAAAAGTACTAATGGACTTTGAATCTGTCTTCTGCACTCACAAAATTCTTTCCTAGGATGTCTCCAAATGGCAGCTCAGCACTCCAGGTTGTTATCTCGTCATAACTGGGGCGCCTTGCTTTAGGCGGCTCCACATCTTCCTTCGAAGCTGGACGGACCAGGTATGTGTCGATGTTGTGTTTCCGTAGAAACTCGCTACGATCCTGGCCATGTCCCGCCTCTGTCTCATAGATCCCACCCAGACAGTCCAGAGTGGCCTTGGAGATGTGAACCTGACTGAAAGGAGATGAAAATGTACAACGGTGTTACATGAACACATCACAAAAATCTTCTGTATTTTAATCATTAAGATTAACTTTATGGGATGACACCTATAGCAAACTGCAGTTTGGCAATTAAGTAATAAGGATATATTATGTATTAATTTGTCTTACCCAGGCACTCCTGCAGCCTCCAAACTGTTGGCGACGTCCACGTCCCAGCTCCAGATGTCAAACTGCCACTTCTGAAGACCCAAAACACCACAAAGAACGGAGCCAGAGTGGACGCCTATTCGCATGTCCACCTCCTGCTGGAGCTCCCGACGAACGTAACTAAAATGAAATACACCTATGAAGTTTTGTGGAAACAGCTGTAGGGCTGTGTTAGCCACAGATGATTGGTACCGTATAGTGTTGATCATACTGAGGCCCATCTCCACACAGCAGCGGGCATGTCCTCTCTGAGGCTCTGGGACTCCTGATACGCAGTAATAACAATCACCCAGAATCTTAATGCGCAAACACTGGTGGTCCTGTACTCAAACACAGGGGAAAAAAGAAAAACTGTGGCCTTGTACATTTAAAAAACACTAAATAAATAAATAAATGGCAAAAGCCAAATAAAGATTAAATTCAAATGAAAAAAATTTATACAAAACTTAACAAAAGAACCCCTAGTAGAATAACAAATACACCAATCCTTTAACTAGTACAAACACATAAAACAGGAGCTGATGCAGTTGACAAGGTGATCTGACCTCAGCCAGCCTGTCGAAGCGACCAAAGAGTTCATTGAGGGTTTTAACGAGATCCTGAGCCGAAAGAATCAATGACAGCGATGTGAAGCCGATGATGTCTGCAAACAGGATGCTGTGGAGAGGCAAAATTCTCATCATGAGAATATCATTTTAATCCCACTGAAACCAATGTAAAACCACTACTGCAATACGTTTTTGGCTAAATGACCTTTACATATTCTTTATTCATCCTCTACATTTTTAACTTTACAATCTGTAATGAAATCATCGAAATAATTTATAAAACCACTAACAATACCTGTTCAGTCTTATTTGACATTAGATGAAAGCTAAAAACTTCTTTAAGAAATTGCCTTTGCATTATTACTGGTGTTGTTGCAGAACAAAAAATCACACCTGCTGGATGTTCAAGCGTTAATCAATTTTGGGGGCATTTTTTTTTTTTTTTAAGTAGATAGAAAGATGGGACAATGGAGGAAGAAACTCAGCAAAGGTCCATGAGTTGGACTACGTTATAGCTGTGTGGTATGTGGTTGGCTCCACAATTAGTAAGCTAAACTAGAGCCTAAAGTTAGAGGTTTTTGATAAAAAACTCTGTGGTTAAAGGTTAACTGCTCATTTGACTGCCATAACAAGTCATTTCAGTCGATACAATAACTATAGTAGAGTTGTTAGTCTGTTGAAGCTCCTCAAAGTTCTTCATTCTTTTAAAACTACATTTATAGCATGTGTGTCCAGCTGGCTCGTCATCATAAAGAAGTGGGTTGTATTACCTGACATCCTTGTAATGGTGAATGTAGATCTTGTGCAACTGCTGAGGCAGCAGATAATCTTCCATGACGGCCATGTCACCAATCATCTCAAGCACCAGAAATTGAGGTAGGATTGACATCACCAGGCGTTCCTGACAGCACAAAGACACACACATAGCTTTAGGATATATGAGGTCCAGACATATCCCAAATACTTTGTTTCACATGACTTGCTACCTAGCTGTTTCTTAGTTAAACATCTTGTTACGTTGGTCAGAAAAATGATGATTTGACTTTATGCTGATAACTGAGATCATTAATAAATAGATGAATAGGTTGACCACATTTACAAATGATCCTAATACTTCTTCCACTTCAATAGGGACACAAAAGATTAGGGAACCCTTAAATATCATCCTCACTTGTCTGTTGTTCTCCCTCTCTAGTCTGACTCGTCCTTCGATACAGCGCCTGGTCTCCAGAAAAGACTGTCTCTGAGTCCAATCAGACAGGTAGTGAATGAACAGACCCGCAGTGTTCATAGCCAGAGACAGCAGAGCCTTGGACAACACCTGCACGTGTACAACCAGACAGTTTAACTGCACAGTGACAGAAAGCAGCCAATAAAATGTAGCAATTTTGTTACCTTTCTGATGAAGCTGTGGTCATTATAGTGACAGCAGAAATCCACCAGGAGGTGCAGAGTGGAGGTGGTTCCCCCCGCAATGATGGACCAGAGGAGGGGGAGGGGCAGGAGGGTGTAAGTGGAGAAAAGCGTGAAGAAGACATACCAAGAGTGATCGCTCTCCGCCCAACTGAAAACACCAACCAGCACTTGGAAGGTCTGAGACAGCCAGCTGACCACTGACAGATACCTGAGGTAGATTTAAAGGAAGAACAGGTCACTGTCTTCAAATTTTTAAGTGAAACATTTTCAGAATAAGACTCTGGAAAACTGAAGAATTTTAGAGGTTCCTTCGGCTTCTGAAGTCGTAGTTCTTCTTTCCTTTTCTGGAGAGAATAACAAACGTTCTTCCAAAAGAATTTATGACATCTTACAGCTTTCAATGTCAGGAATTTGTTTTAGAAAATCACTTCTGTGTTGGTAAATGCAGTCAAGCAGTCACATTGACTTATCTGTGGTTTAAAATTTGAGCTACTGTTTAGATTCTGCTGGTAGGATGAAATGTCATCTGCATATAACTTGATATTTATCTTAAAGAAAACTAAACATGCCCTCTGCAGTGCAGTGCTTCTTTCCTAATAACAGCCAAATAAATAAACAAATAAATCCATATTGTTTCGCACATCAAGGTACTATAATATTAGCGACAGCTTACATTAAAAGACATAGTAACTTAGTTCATGTAGGATGTCGCTAAGTTGGCACAGAGATCCTTATAAGGAGCCCTCCCGCATAGCAAGCAGGTCTGCTACATCCCAGTGTACCTAAGCCACTGAGGTGATGACAAGACTTCCTTTCTGGTCAGAACCACCAGGCAGATTCCTATCCACAAGACTACAGACAGACCGGTAAGCCAATCACAGGCCATGCCCCACCAGCCCAGTGGCCATGTCAGCAATGAGACAAGAAGGCGGGTCAGGATGTCAACGACAACAGTGACGACCAGTGAGGTTCTTCTCTGAGCCGAGGAGAACTGCTGGTAGAGCTGCTCCAAGTCTGCAGACCTGAAGAGGTTATAAGCGTCAGCATTACTTATTTTTATACCATTGACAGTAAGCAACAATATAGTCAATAAGACACCTGAATAAATAAAATAGGCAAGTAAAGATTTATGATTAAATATGTAAAAAATTCTAAATACTATCAAAGTTTATGCTACAAAGCATATTTAAACAAAGATCATTAATTTTATGACTGTATCATAATTGTTATTATACAGCTAATAATTGTATGGTTTTTAGTTAAAATGTCCATTTGAATGTCTTTACTTGAATTTGTGCTGCAGTGTGGGGATGAAGACGCCTCGCACCGTCCACCCAGACGACACAAAGAAGTCAGCATCACTGAGTGGGTCGTGTTTGCTCTGTGTTGCTGTGGTGACTGTTGGGTGAATGCGAGCTGCTGACGAACGGCGCTTCTGCCAAAATACTCCACGAGACGCTTTATTGCGGATCTGCCTGCAAGACAACACAGACCGAAGAACTTGTGTAATACTTCAAGTTTGATTTAAGAGAATAGACAAAAAAATTATGTGAAAAACGTTTGGTTTTTTTTATTAAATGTTCTTAATTCAGTAACTTATAAACTGTTTTGGATAAGGATAACTTGTATTAATAATTAAGATGCCGACAGTTCATACATTTATTAAGGTTATTCAATCAATTCAATCATGAAATTACTATGAATCAATGTATTTTTAATAAACACATAAATTATTCTGGAAGGAATGTAAAATAACACTTTAAGTAATTTTAGGATTACATTAATTTGTACATTAATCAGGAAAAATTCACATTTTAGGAGTTAACTAATATGTTTATAGTTAATTAACGATCAAGAAAAAAGTAATCAGGAATGTTATTTCAACGTTTTAATTGAGATCATTTGCAATTTCATCAGGATGAAGTTAACCTTAATACCAACGTTTATTATAGTTAAGGTTCAGTTAACTCAGAAATCAGTTTCTTTTTACCTGTTGATGTCCGCGATGTAGGCATCGGTGACTTTGATATGGTGCTTGCCTCGCTCCAAACCCCCAGCGAGCCTCAGTGTGTACAGGTTGTGCTGGTCAATGATGTTCCTGACGGCGTTCTGCCACAGCAGCTGCTTCCTGCGCAGGTTGGAGGTGGGGCTTATCCCGGTGCTAAAGGTGATGTCGCTAGTCTGCCGCGCCGCCTCACAGTCACCATTTAACAGCTCGCTGCAATCTTCACCCATGGTTACAGAGTTGTAAGGCCTGGCTCTTCTGTGAGCTGATTGGTGTCAAACAGATTTACATCAGTGATAACAGCAGCAAAACTGTTCTGTCTTTCAGTGTCTTTCCAGGCTCCCGTACACAGGGCTGAAAACAAACCAGAAGAAGCACTTAGAAAAAAAGTGGCACCAGTAATGATGATTTGTCATTAAAATCCATTTTACACAAAATAATTGCCTAAGGAGTGTTACTCAGTAAATACAACAACCTTAAATTACATCAGTGCATTTAACGTTATGTATATATACATTTTTGAAGTTTGTTAACTGCATTGAATAATGCACACTGAAGAGTATAGTTGTGTAAATGTGCTTCACTAAGTAATTGTGATCCTTCATTCAGTTTGGGTGTGTGCAGATTTGGCTTTTGTGGGTGTGTAACAGATTTTCAGTGTAAAAGTCACTTTGACTAATTTTGTTCAGGCTTGTGCTTAAAATGTTAATAAAATCAGATTTCCTGTACTTGTGCGGTGCATGGGACAATTTTAATTTCTAGTAAATAACTTTTTTTTTTTATAGAAGCTGGTGTTGATGGTGATGATATGACGTTTGTCCAAGTGATGAAGTCCACTCAGGTTTTAGTTGCAATCACTGAATAAGGTGTTTATTTGATATATCAGTGCAAATACCCTCCAAATTATAATGTAACATATTTGCATTTCCTCTAAGACCAGTTTTGTTTTTCCATCCATCCATCCATCGTCATCCGCTTTGTCCGGGGTCGGGTCGCGGGGGCAGCAGCCTAAGCAAAGAGGCCCAGACCTCCCTCTCCCCAGCCACCTCCTCCAGCTTGTCCGGGGGAATACCAAGGCGTTCCCAGGCCAG